ATCCGGCTCGAAGGACCAAATTATGTAAAGATGATCAGCTAAGCAGGAAAATGAAACTCAGATCTTGGACATTTTCTCGCCTTTACAGCAGGCGAATATAATAAATCTTTCACCGAAAAAAATAAACTTAAAATTAAAATCACCCTCAGAAAATAACGCCTGATGAGTTGTGCGAGCAATTACTTGTAAAGTATATTGCAACGTTATTATTGAACATGGCATTCTTCAGGTTGATTTTCTAAATCTAAACAAAGGTGCCTACAGATCTGCTCGACGGTGTCGATCGTCAATGTCCATCAGGTGCCTACAGATTTGCTCGATTTTGTCGATCGCCATCGAGAATTATAGACATTTTCGAGGTGTTTGGAAGTGCTTATTACGAATGTTGCATTAATTTCTAAATCCAAGATAGTTGACAAGAATTCTGAAAATTAAATTTTGGTAATCCAGGAAATGGCATTTATGTGTAAAATACACGATGGGTGGACACGACATTTCTAAATCCAAGATGGCGGGCACGATTTTTCAAAATAAAGCTAGTTGGGTACCTTATATAGTATCGATGGTTGGGTATCGTTTTCGAGGTTTTCGGGGGTGTTCATTACAAATATAGCATTTATTGCTAAGGGCCTATGCACACGGCGTTTTTTATACACGCAGACGACGTGCGTTTCACGAACGCGCGTTTACGACGCTGAAGATGTTCGAAAAGCAGATTGTTGCATTTGTATCGATTCAAACGCGCGTAAAACGCGATAGAAACGCGCTTTCTAAGTGCATTTGCATCGAATCAAACATCGCGTTGCAAGACTGAGGAAAGGGTAGGGGAGGCGCGCGCGCTCACGCCATCGCACCATATGATTACAGCGCCGTAAACGTGCGTCATCTGCGCGTATACTCACGTCATCTGTGCGTATGTGTAGTGAATCGACTCAAACGAACGCAAACATCGCGATGCAAGCAAGAAGCTTATATGTATACTCCACTGGAGTTTACACGTAGAATTTCATGTAGTTGCTTCATTTAAAAAATTTATTAAAATTAACAAACAAAACTAAAATTAAATCTACCTTTTATCAAAATGCGCGATAGACACGCGCATTTTCAGCACGTTTACGTCGCGTATGAAATTGTGAACGTGTGCATAGGTTTACTGGCTACGACTGAATCTCGTTTGAATCGCGTGAACGCGTGTCGTCAGCGCGTACTCTGCGCGTCGTCTGTTCGTATAAAAGACGCCGTGTGCATAGGCCCTAAATCCAAAATGGCGGACACGACTTTTCAAATAAACGCATTTTTATTTTTTTATTTATTTATTTATATATAGCATTGGCTTCAGAGCCAGCAGCTTAATGGTAACAAATAATCAAGAAACGGACAACCTAATATACATAAACAAAAAATTAATTCGTGTAAAAATGTAACTATTAAAACCCGCCACCAAAATATCCCTCAACAAAATGACATTTTTTTAAATAATTATATTGCATTTATTTAAAATGCAATATGGGTATCGTTTTCGTGGTATTTGGGGGCACTCGTTACGAATACGACAATCATTTCTAAATCCAAGATGGCGGGCACGACTTTTCAAATAATGGCAAGTTGGGCATCGTGCTCATTACGAAAATAGCATTTATTTCTAAATCCAAGATAACGGACATGATCGACAATGTGGAGCAAATCTGTAGGCACCTTAACTTGAGACCTACGTCTCTTGACGTCATCGCCTGTCTACACAGGCGACGTCGTCAGGCTTACTGCGAAGGCTTAGAGTTTAATAGACATACTTAGGCATCCTACCCTTGAATAGCCGATTACATCATCCCTTTCCTGACTAACTGCCGTAACAAGTATTAGGCAAAGTTTTCAGGCTAACGTGTTTTCGCTTCTACGCATCTTTAGCTGTATTTCGTATTAAGGTCGTACCTAATATTTACACGCTTTACTAAACATAATATACGTTTAAACAAATATTCGTGCTATGATCGGGTTATGAAATTTTAAATGCTGAGTAAACTCTTATGTTAGTTGTGACAAAAATATCAGATACGAGCATTGACTTACTTTACGAGGCAGATTGTGAGAAGAGATGAGAATGTGGCGTATGAATATGGTTCGTTGAGAATTTGATAACTTGCTCACAAAGGGTGAGACCGTGAGGAGATGCACGATTGTACATGTAGGTTTAGTAAGTAAATAAGAATATCAAGTGGTCAAACGATAAAAGAATAAACAATATATTAGCAATTTAAATCCATTTAAGGTCAGGTGGGGTAAGAGGAACATATTTTATGTCGAGACAAATGTTATGAGCTCAAGGAGGAATAAATAATGTCTTATACGAATTGCGAAATGCTCTAATCTTGCCCTGGTTTATCAGCTCTCTATGTTTTAACAATCATTACGCTAAAATTAATACTTACGATATATCTGACAAAAACGTTCAAGTTGTGCTAACGTTTCTCTTCCCAAAAAACAGGGTAAGAGGAACTGTCGTCGTATTTCATATAAATGCAATGTATATTTAAATATATCCGTAGTTAATTCCTAAGTAAAACTATTTCAATCGTATTTAAATATTAAGACATTAAGACCATTGAAATAACGCATATTTATAAAAAAAAGGTGAAAAATTAATTTTGGGGCAAGAAAGAGTACCGGTTAAGGTCAGGGGTGACAAATTAAAAAAAAGTGTCTGTTATAATTTTTTTTAAATGTACAAAGTATAATAAAGGCACATTTTAAACCACTCGTTTACAAATCAACACATCTAAGTAACTTAAGTACTTTTTAAACATCGTCATTAGCAAATCAACGTTTCGTTTGGTCCAAAAATTAATTTATTCTTCTAACAAAATTTATTCTTCTTTAGTCACCAAAACCACTCTACTTTGAAAAGCGTTCCACTAAATCAATTGAAATTTGGTATGGATGTAGTGGGATCACGTAGCTAACGTGCAATGAGCGTACATTTTTTTGTGTTTGTTCTTAGATTACGTCATTATTTTAGAGGCTAATGTAATTTTTTTTTAGTTTTCCACTAAAATATAAAATTGTCTAAAAATTCCTGATGGAAAATTCTACTACCAGAATTTTGTTGCTAGTCTTAAAAACTATCTTAAGATGTGTGATTGCTTACACATAAAATTGTAGGTAGTGGTGTAATTATAACATCATCAGAAATTAACATCATGTGGACGAAGTCATTAAAATTTTACCACAATTTACAATTACTATCAAAAACGTTACTTGAACAAATTTAACTTAATTTCTTAAAAGTATATATAACCAGGCTTAGAATAATAACGCATAGAATGATAGTTTCATATCAAACGAACTGTCACAAGTGAGGCAAAAATCAAATTTACGTAGGTAGGCTAGTTTTAGTAGTAGGTTAATTTTCGGTTTTAGTGAATATTTATATAAAAATACAAGTTGAAACGCGTTACTTCCTTGTGGAATATGATGTTAGTATCTATTTTATGTTTGTCTGACGTATTTTTACACTCATTTACCGCACATTTCGTCTTTTTTAGGCAAAATTCTTGATCTGCTCGCGGTGAAAGTTGACCTTGAGCACTGAAGGCCCGCTCGCTCGTGTAGGCCCTTTGGACGCGCTTCAATTTGCCTCACTTAGCGTGTGTGGACAAGGTTTCTATGCGTTATTATTCTAAGTAACCAGGTATAAAATAATAATATACAATATGTTTTATATATAATATATACGGATATACATAAAGTTGTGTTTGTTCGAATATGTCGATATTCCATCATTATGACAATTCATCAAAAAGTTTGTCACCCCTGACACGAGCGAAGAGGAACATTTGTTTCTCTTACCCCACAAGTACTAGACCCTCTTACCCCAACAATATTTTTGGCGCTTAGGATTTTGATTTCAATGAAACTCATATTATTTCTTGTTTTTGGTCTGAAGTAAGTAATAAAAGTAAAACTTACCGTTTTCTCTACGTGTTTTTCTATAAAAATAATCTCCAGCACTTTTTTCACCAAGATCTAGCAAAGAAAAAATTACGCGCCCATCTCGTGTTTTCATACTACACAGCTGTCAATTTTTGTTTCTCTCTCAAATTTGGAACATCGTACCGACATCTCTTTACAACCGTTAAAGCTAATTAGTTTGTTGTAACGCGATTTAAATCCGGAAAAATAGTTTCATTTCCTATGTGTAACAATCGCGAAAACCTAAGAACTCGAAAGTTTGTATGTTTTATCGACTGAAGACTTTAGTGCTAAACGCTTTACGTTAGATATTATGGACTTTAGTCCCTCTTCGCCCGGTGTTCCTCTTACCCCACCTGACTTTACACTTTGAACATTATTATATTATAATATTAATACATAGAACTCTTTATTTATTTTGTCTTCGTACGTATGTACAATAGTAACAATGCTAAGTTGAGTGCGGCGGCAATTGAAAGAACACATCCAGTTAACAAATGACTTAAACGCTGCATATCGTTGTGAATCCTTGTGTATGTACAAGCGATATCCGTACTTTCTCGAATTCGGGTCACAAGCGACATCCGAAGTCGGCACGAGTTTTCTAGATTTGAATATTCCCGGATTCAGAACGGACACGGATCGGACGTGCATACGGCTTTAGGCATGGTTTCACGGTAACCTTAAGTGGACCCCGTAAGGAGGTAGGTCTTTCCCCTTCTATAAATAGTTTGGTTGTTAGTTTTGTGGGACTTAACCACGGGAAAAAAACATGTATTTGTGTTTTGTGGATATTATTCCGGCCTCAGAGAATGGTATCTTGTGTTCGGTATCGGCAAAATTCGCATGAAATATGAAACCACATGAAGAAAATAAGTGTCCTCTCTGATGCTGTCTACAATCAATGAATTAAATGTTTTGAGAGAAAATTTCTTAGTCTTATATTATTTTTTATATCATGCGTGAAAAGAAGCGTTACAACAATCAGCTGTTACGCTTTGTCAAAGTGACATGAACATAACAAATCTGCTGGTTTTTCGTGTTTAAGTTGAAAATTATTCAAGGTACATTACTAGAGAAATGTACCTAATTTGTACTATTTAGCACCTCTCTGTTTAAAGATTTTATGGTTCAGTCGCCTGTTACTAATGGTTCTAAGTTTGCAAGCCCTTCAAGTTACGACACGTCTATTGGTATTTCGTTCAGGTACGGTAGTTTGTCACAGTCAATATTTGGAATCTAAGATTTTGCAATTCCAGGCTACAGAATACGCTATTTTTTTGTAACAGGGAATACTCATACTTTACGAGAAATGACTTCGTTTTGTGGAGTAGTAGAAAACACTATTAGAAGCAAACTCCAAACGGCACTTGACACCAAACATTTAGATGTAATTAACGAATCATTCATGCACAATGTACCTAAAAGTGCTGAGACACATTTCAAAGTGGTTGTCGTATCGGATAAATTTGAAGGCTTACCATTGATTAAGGTAAGAGCTCTTATCTGCTTCTTGTTGCAAACTGTACCTGTAGGGGAAGCGGGGCAGTTTGATACAGCATTATCTTCATACCTTCAAACATAATATTAGTTGTCATAATACTAAAACATGCCTTTGTACATGCGAGTAATAGACATGCAGCTCACCAGTTAGCCGTTTTTTTCTAAACTGGCGGTGGAGGTGAAGCTGGGGTACTTTTATATACTAGTGAGTGGGGCACTTTGGTATGTATCAAAGTGCTCCTGTTAGGTATTTTGTACGAAAAATGTAAAACTGTTTCAAGAAGTTGTAAAGAGGTGAACTAGTTACATTTTGCGCTATCGTCAGCTCTTCCTCTTGTATTTCTACTTCCAAGACAACATTACAAAGAGCACTTTTGAGATAGAAGTGTTGATCTAGCAAGTGCTGAGGCACATGTAACGTCATACTTTATGAACAGTTCGACCCCTCCAGCGAAAAGAATTATATGTCGAAATTGCCAAGTTTACAAGGGCGCGTTTTAAAGTTCTGAATTCACTCATCTAGTAGATTATCTAACTGATATCTAACGAGCTTTGCCAAATAAAACTGAGAAATGCTAAAGTCACGTGTTATGCTCATTTCAGTGAACTCAGAACTTTAAAATGCTCCCCTATAAACTGGTAATTTCAATATACAATACTTTACATAGGAGGGGTTGAGTTGATCACCTAGTACTGATAATAGGCAACCAGGATTGGCACTCTATGCTGATTCATTTAAGTGCCCCAAGCGATGTATCAAAGTACCCCACGGGTGAACAGAATTGGACAATCCCCATTTGTTAAAAAAAAGAAAAGATTAAATGAGTAACGTTTATTAGTTATATCATCAATTAGGTAGAAAAAATATTCATTATAATTGCATTTAGTAGCCCAAAATTAAAGTTAAAAAAGTGTACAAATCTGCCCTGCTTCCGCCTACTAATATCTAACAAAATCACCACATGGGTGAAGCATAGAGTACATAAAAGTCCTCATGCTCCAACTGATAATATTCATACAGTCAGATGCAGAACTTACATGGTGCATGAAAGGGTTGCACTTGGAATAATATACTCTAACCATACTCCAGATTTTCCCTAATATCTGCTTATTAGAGAAGAAGCCTAACACAGGTAAACATCAAATTTATGTGGTCCACCATGTTGAACTAGGCAGATGGGCCACAAAGGGTTAATAAAAATTGTAGAACTCCGGTGCAACTTTTTCCATCAACAAATGCAGTAAAACCTAGTTGTTTTAATTCAAAATTTTATAATTGAAAGACTAGGCTTAACTTACAACGCGGCGGAACGGAATTGAACAGATGTGTCAATTTCGCCCCGCATTCGCCAGCTTTCTCGCTACTGCGCCTTGAGGCTGTAGTATTTCGTTGATGTTTGATATCACGCTGCGCCTGCCTTCGCGCTACTTCGAACGAACGAATGCGTGAACATTTTCAAGAGTTCGTTTCTTATCTTTGGCTCGGTATCTGTGAGTCAGAAGAATGGCGGGTGTACCTAACGGATTACCCTGACAAATTTGGTATAAAAAAAATGCACCTAATTTGTACTATTTAGTACCTCTCTGTTTAAAAAATTTGAACCTCCATCAGAAGGAAGTTAATAGCAATATGAAAGGTACACCAGCCTTATTGACAGTCAATACAGCGGGTGTACCTCGGATTACCAGTATTTATTTATTAACTGTAAAAACTTGTTACTGCATGAAATAAATTATATATTAAGGACACGCGCTTGTAAACTTTTTAATCAAAACAAGGAAAAATATTGACATATGAAGAGGCTGTATTGTAGAACAATTGGCGGAAAATTTATTAAAAAAAATTACGACAATATTTACAATTTTGATTTCCGGAAAATTTATAAAAAAAATTACGAAAATATTTACAATTTTGATTTCGCTTATCTTCGTTATGATAGAGGTACAATTTTTTTAGGAATAAGTACTAAATAGTAAAAAGAAGTGGGCCGATCGGGAAAGTAGACGAATATTGAAAGTGGACCGATCGGGAAAGTAGACGAAATGGGAAATAGACGAATTGGGAAAGCGGACCATTTGCACAAGTCGACCGATCGGAATAGTAGACGAATAGTGAAAGTGGACCGATCGGGAAAGTAGACCGATTATACCGAAGGGCGTTAAGGTACATCCACTATTCTCTCACCAGTATTATATGTTACACAATTGACCATAAAGTTACAGTGCTATGTACAATATCGCTACAAAAATTGGCTACCATTACGTTTCGCCGCAATATAAATTGAGCCTAGAGCAACAGAAATTAAAATAAATTAGTGTGATTCAATACATTCTAAGTTGCAGGATCCCTTAGTTTAGAAGGCACTATAATCTTGTGATTGTATAACTTTTGACTTATAAATAAACATTATTATCATTATCATTCAATACTTTCAATTTTTTTTTCAGCGACATCGCCTAGTGAATGATATCCTGAAAAAAGAACTCCAGGCTGGTGTCCATGCCTTATCTATTGTAGCCAAAACACCTCAGCAGTGGGATGAGAGTGACAAAGTCATTGAAAGTAGCCCTAACTGCAGAGGAGGGTTTGGGAAATAATTTTTGCAATATTAGTATTTAAAAACATTAAGCATCAGGCAAGTTGAAAATGATTGTCCTTAAAATTCAGTTTTCATAATATTTGTTTAAAATATTAATACAAAAATGAGGTAGTAAAAGTTCTACTTTTCTGCCCAAAGTGAAATATTTAAAAAATAGTACATACAGTCGTGATTAGTTATACTGGTAACAATTATTTTTTTAAATTGTAGTTGTTTCTAGGGATTAAAATAAAACTATTTAATTCATAAAAGTTTATTTTTAGTCTAATGTATACAACGACGCAAGTCATACATAGATCATGCAACATTTGTAGGACACAATATTTTGAAGTCTCGTAGTATTATTATATGCTCACTGCTCGTAATGGTTTAGTGACCAAACTAGCGGAATGCGCCCACGAAAATATGCATGGCATGAACCCAATATAGAGCGCACAGAAAATGTTAATGTGCGCATTCACACCCGACCCTCGACGTTTCGCCGTATTAATGTGAATATCCAATATTTATTGTTCTTAGTAAAAAAAAGTAACATTATGTTGGCCAAAAGCCTAGATAGTGGAAATTGCGCGCACGCCATTTCATTTTCATGTAAAGGTGATATATAGATATATAAGTACATTCAATACAATCATTACATTTTTTTAAACTATTGTACAACTTGCAGCAATTTGGGGTATATTTGTTTAATATCCCAAGTGGTTGTAAGCTGATTTACGTTAAGAAAAACTTAATATTAAGATTTCAATAAATTTATACTCGCCTACATAGTATGTGGTCATAATAATTAGGGTATCTGACTCATATTTTTAATACATCAATCAACTTGAGGATACGAATCTTATATTCAGTTTTCGATATCGCGCTGAACCCACATCAGTGTCTCTACCATGAGATTACAGTGACAATCATCGCTAGCGACCGCGTAAAATGTTTGTATACAAAATGTGATTTCTTCTTGTGGCCGCTAGAGGCGCTGTGAATTTACCACACAAAATTGAAGTAATTTATGCGGTCGCCAGCGACAATTTGTCACCACAGCAAAGTCGTGGTAGAGAGACAGGTTAGTCTTTTTTGCAAAACTGTGTTTAGGATGTTGCTTGTATTTTGTCACAAAAGATTCCAGTGTCTTTGTAACTTTTGATTTCTGAATCGGACCTGTGACTACTCACTTTTCGAATTTCACTTCTATTTTCATATATAACCATTCACAATTTTAAGTATTTTTAATGATTGTTTCTTTTTGATACTTGACAAATACCATAATTATATTAAAGGCAAATAAATCTGTACATTTATAGGATGCTATGTAAGTTTATGTGCTTAAACGGTATTTGTGTCCATACTCCACAAGCACTCACAATTCACTCATTCACACACCGTTACAATAACGGTGTGTTTAATATCAGAGGTTGAAGTTGTCCAGACGTAGTTTACCTTCGTTCTCAGTCAGATAGAGAAGATCAGCCATAGTTTGTTCGCCAATTGCTTCTTCAGCTTTTTCGGACATCTGTAAAATGATAATTATTGAGATTTTTATTATAAAGATAGTACGAGACTTCCGTGTGCAGCTCTCAATGCGGTGAAAAACCCGTAGACGGTTAAAAATCCCGTTAAATTAAGTTAATAGCCAAAGTTATTGCCATTTTCTGTATCTTTGATGTAAATTTTATTGTACACCTCACCAGTGACGTGAACAATCTTAAAAAACTTTTCCCTATAAATCAAAAGGGATTGTAAGAGCACTTTTAGACATTGTTTTTTTTTCTGATTTACTTACCGATCTATATGAATATTTATTAGACGGCGGAAATTTGAAATTGGGTCCAAAATTAACACTGACAGTCACATTCTTATGCAGCGATACTGAAGGATAGTAGGAGCCTTGGTAAATATCTTCAAAGGCGACTCCTTGGCACTCTCCATTCTTGAAGAAGTATATCTTGCTGCCAGGGAGGGGTTTGAGATTGTTGAGAGATTCTTGAATATTATCCTTGTCTTCATAGTAGAGGTGGCTTTTGAATTTTACCAAGGGCTGTGAAGAAAACGATAAAAAAATTGATAAATAAAACAATACCATACCTACATGTACTTGGTACTTACTTGGTACTTGCGGCAACTCGACGACAAAGCGCCTATTTTGCGTGTATTACCATAGGACAAGTGGGTCAAGGAGGCGAATGTTTGGTATATTATTATGTCATATTATGCTATGAAAATATAATTTATGTTAAGAAGGATACCATTGTTTTCATGAAACATTGTGATAAAATAAAATAAACATAACATTAATACTAAGAAGAAAAATAAACCGGTTGTCCTTGACAGTCGTTTTGACATGGTCACAAGTTCTAAGATTCCTGTTGATATTTAACATTTTCCCGAGGTTTAAATCAAAAAGTGAAAAATAATCTTTGTAAAAACTACGTACTACGTTTAACTTTTTCAAGTGGCAATGGGCCTTTAGTTCAAAGTTAGGGGTTTGACAACTGAACTTTATTATGAATTATTTTTACAATATATTTATAATTACTAAGCCAATAAACAAAAAGAAGAAGAAAAAGTTCAAGCGAGCGCAGATCTTAATTTTCAGACTTTTGCGTTGCTCATCAATTTAGGTTGAAAGTTTAATTCGAAATTGCCTGGTCAGCTCAGACATTTTCGAAAAAAATTACACTAGTATACCAGGCAAACAGAATTTACAAGAATCGTCTACATTAACTCGTGCCTATAAAATTATTAAAAGTCACTGAACAAAATTGTTGTTTATGATATTAGTAATACATATAGTCCTGCGAGGTTGTTACTATTTTATAAATAGCTCTGTATACATATACAGAGCAGTACGTTTATATAAAGTACTTTTATATATACATATATATTAATTTATACACCTTGCCATAAAATAACTTACCCTATCCTTGTAAGTACTGGGAGTATACTTGGTATTAGTTGAGTCAGGCATCACTATGAGGAAGCCTAGGGTGTCGCCCTCACCGTACCCAGAGCTGTAGTGTTTGCCGCGAGACTCGTGGAATCTGTAATAATAAATCAATACAATGACTACACTTTTAATTGTTTATTAGGATTCACCTTGTTATATTGGCGGAGAATGATGACATGGTGAGGAAACTTTTATAAGTGTCAAGAGAAGCTGTAAAATTTTTATTTATAAGAATCTGGTTTATTTTTGAAAACCAATTTATAAGTTTCTCAAAAGATCTACAGACATTTCATATGCCAACCAACGCTATATTCTTTTTTTAAAGAAAACAACGTAAATATTTTTCTATTGTTTGTTACCGATTTTTGTTTTGACGGATTCTTTTGTCATAACGCCATCTGTGAGATATCAATGAAAATTTTTCTTTACTCCACCAATAAATACCTGTATAGCTAGCTACCAGACGTTATAAGAGATGTCGCTTTAGAAATGGTAATATTGATTGTACTGTATATTATGATATTTTACTGCCATGATATTCATTTATTTTTGTGAAATTACTATGCTTGTTACAATTACTCAGCAATTTTCAGGTAAGTTTTTTGTACTCAATTTTGGTGACAATTTTTATTATTTAATTACTCGAATATATCATCGTCAAATATTAAATAATATTTCAGGTTACCACACTCGAATATTAAATAATACTTCATGATAATATTCTATAAATATTTAAATAAAAAGAAATGGTCACCAAAATTGAGTACAAAAAACTTACCTGGTAAAATTACCCTATTAATACAAAGATCGAAAACGAAGAAAAATTTATTCGAAGAACGTAAAAGTATTAACAAAAATTAATAGAGAAATCTCGTTTTTGTTACAATCATGGCAACTGGAAAATGTGTATAATTGTCTATGTATATATACCTGGTGCCCTTCCGGCTACGCCAGGAGTATCCGAACTTGTCGTAACCGAGCGGCGCTTGCAAGTTGGCATATCGACGTCCCCATCCCAGACGCGCTGCTGCACCTTCTGGCATCTCCTCCACCACCGCCTCCCAATACCACGCGCCGCGAGATACGCCTACCGAGGTTTTAGATATCGTCGGTTAAAAGGTAAAACTCATTAAGTGACATTTTGTTCAAAAACTAGATTTTTTCAATTTTGCTTTATTGGGAAGAACATCTATGACAAGAAAAATTCAGTAAGTCTGTGGTGTCCTTCATGTTTTAATACATACCAGTCCTTTAGTGATTTTTCATAATGAAAAAATACAAAATCTTAATTATCTCCCTTTGGCCAATTAGGCTATTAGTGAGTTTTACCTTTTAACCGACGATATGTCGATTCAAATGTTTAATAACACCAATGCTGTATCAATGTAACTGCCTCCGTGACCGAACAGTCATCATGCTGAACTGCCATACAGAGGTCCCGGGTTCGATTCCTGGACCGGGAGAAATATTTGTATGGCCTACATTTATTTCTCTCGTGAACTTCGGTTTAATTGGTTGTTGTGTATGTGTGTGTCCATGGCATCCGCAATACAGGGTTTCCCTAACGCGGTGGTATGAGTGCGGCCGTTATTATTATTATTTTCTTGTTTCACAGCCTTTTTTGGCTGGTTTGAACCACAATTATTATTTTTATTAATTCATGTAATTCCAACTGTTTGTTGGAAACAGGTCTCTGTAGAGTGTATTTGAACAATAGTCCGCTATGATCATTAAGAAATATATTAATAAATTTAAGCATGATAAGCAGTGAAAATGAACCATTGAACAGTAACCTTTCGTGCCATCTTAGTTGAAACAGCACATACTTCGTAACATTACAGCGCAGTATATACTATGGTACTCATCGACATCATAATCAGTACAATTGGGCGAGGTGTGCCCACATCGAATTCGAAATGCAATCATTAAATTTGACCCGTAAACGGTTTGTGAAAACGTACGTGTGTTTTAACAAACGACGTAAAAAAAGAGGGCTTATCAAGTTTGAAACCGTTGTCTATGTGTCTGTCTGTAGCATCGTAGCTCCCAAATGGATGGACTGATCCCAAAAAATTTCAGTACAAAAAAGTAGTGAAATATTAACTTAATTTGTTTAATAATTATAATTGATATTAACCAAGAGACGGGACAAACAAGTCGTAACAGTTAGGGCGCATTTATTCGACACGAATTTCATCGCGCTCACCCCGCACAGCCGCTGAGCGTAGTCCGCGTTGGCGCCGCGCAGCGATCGTGTGCGTCTAACTGTTATGGCAAAATACGCTCTGTATGTTTATCTTTTACGTTTTAACTTAAATGAGCGTCCCGGGCACCCGGGCAAGGCAGGCTTGAATATGGTCTACGCGGCGACCCGCGCGGTTGTATTATTCACAGGAATTTAAATATTGTTGCCTAGTAAATAGAATTCAGATTCGCCATGAATGTACATGAAGGCGTGGTAATTGGGCGATGGCCGCGCCAGCTTTAAATCGCAAAGATCTTATGGGCACTGCCACTGCGCCCGTCACCCCGAGACATAAGTTGCCAAGTCCCATGTGCCTGTAATTCCACTAGCATCCTTGCCCTTCTAAACCGGAAAGCAAAAGTAGAGAAGGTGGCAGTACTTCCCTGGTTAAACTCTTTGACAAGTAGTTCTACTGTCACTGATTACTTTCACTTATCCAATCGATTTGAAATTTGTTATGATGGCACTTCACGTGGCCATTTGTATTTGCGTATTTGACATATTTGGCAAACAATCACAATGTGTAGATAGCATGTGTGACAAAGTATTTACCTTGTATTCGACAAATACAGCAAACACCAAACTCGCGTTGCCGCGAACGGAGCCAAATACGCAAAGTAAACCGTTCACTCTATGGTCATATTCATTATTTTGCTCCACGTGTAGACGGTCAATTTGTCAGTGTTTGCATGTTTGTCCGTACGTCAAATATTTTCCCAAGTACATCAAACACCCAATAGCGAATACAAGCAGCTATGCGAAGTGCCGCCATTATGCTATGGGAATCCAAATACACTACAATAATATGGTAACCTTATGACGACCTTGGTGGCCTAACGATTTACACTGCGGACGCTGGATGCGGAAGTCTCGGATTCGATTCCCGGTATAATAAATTTAGGAAATAAACTTTTCTAAATTAATTCTGGTCTTGGTGTTCTCGGAAGTGCCCCAAAATAAATTCCGTTGCTCTCGTACTCATAGTACAGGGAATTCCCTAGTTTGAGACAAGGCAATTGGTGTGGTTGTCTGACTCATTATTATTATTTATTTATGTACTACTGACAGTAGAAGTATCGTGTTTGGGGTAGTTAGCTTACAAATGGTGACTTAGTTGATTTTTCGGAGTACACTGTTCTGAATCAGAGGTATGTTTAATTTAAATTTATTGAAAAACTAATTGATTGGTTTATTTTTAGCCTCTATATTTGAGCGTTTAGACTTAGCCTCTATATTTGAGCGTTTAGACTTTAAAACATACCATGTGTAGCCCGAACCATGCAATAGCCTCTATCTCCGGTGACAGCTAATCGGTCTTCAGCAATCTTCAGCTGCGGTGCGCGATCATGCAATGCCAGAAGAACAACGCCGGGGCATAGAGCTCGGTACAGCCACCCCGGAATCGGCTTGCCGCTCCATTCGTTGCTTTCATCGAATTCCTATAACATAATAGATGGCTATAGGTATATATCTGTATAATAGTTAGTATATTTATATAATAGCTGTAGTCATATTAACTCTAACTTGTCAGCAGAGATCGAAATAGACAGTAAGTAAAAATTCATACAATTCCTCTTAAATTTATTTTTATTTTATTTCAATAGCACATAAACAGAATGTTATCATCATATGGTAACAGATCCATTTTGATACATTAATAGACTAGACCACATTCCAAAAAAAGTGTACACAGAACGATTATACTACATTCACTAAATTGAAAACGAGAAATAATATATAATAAAAATAAATAAAAGAATTGTCAGTTACAGGAAAAGAAACAAAATAATAATAACAACGTAACGGGACACAAAATGACAAAAAGTTAAAACACAAGCGATACACGCAATTGCGTATTGTATAATTTCATTTTCGAATTAAAAGCATCGATTAATAAATTATTACATTGCATTTTTAATATGCTTACTAGCAATGAGTTATCTTCGGTAATGTATTCAGAAGAAAAGTTTAGTAATTTTAAGTTAAAAAAAGAACTAAGTAAAAGTAGACGTTCATTAATAATTTTCAACGAGGTTTGCCCTCTGAATCTCTGAATTTCAGTTAATAAAATAAACCGAATATTACTTTGAATTGAGATTGGAAGAGTAGACTAGCGATAAAGACCCGAAGTACGCGCGAGAAGAGGAAGATCGAAATGCGATCTCTACAAACGAAATAATTTATGCGTAATTTTCAGGTAAGTTTTTTGTACTCAATATTGGTGACAATTTCTTTTTATTTAAATATAGAATATCATCATGAACTATTATTTAATATTCGAGTGTGGTAACCTGAAATATACTTAATAGTTCACGATGATATTCGATATTTCGATAATTCGTGTAATTAAATAATAAAAATTATCATCAAAATTGAGAACAAAAAACTTACCTGAAAATTACTGTTATCATTTACTACGGCTATATCTGCACTTACCTGTCTAAAAGGCGCATGAGGATCAGGCTCGGCCAGTATATATCGATACCCGTCTTTATTGAAAGGGTGTTCGGTCGGATATCCATGTGAAGGCAATTTCAGGGTGCCAATTTCGGCTGTACGGCCTTTCTTGCCGGCCGGCGCACCTGTTTCGGTCGCGCCTACCGCCGGCCGCCTCTTGCCTTGCCGCCCCTTAACATTGCCTGCTAATGGTACTGAAAATTGTGACGTCATTGGTAAAAATATTTATACATATAGAGCGAAGTAGCTTTAAAAATAAACAATCTGCGGAAAGTAAAGGTTTGCAAGTAATTAATAATGGAACCTCGAACTTGTGCCATTTTCAGGGTACAAAAGGTAGTTTAAAACATAATTTGTGACGTGTGTTTTGGACAATATCTAACCACGCGAATTAATCTCGCTAGAAGACTAATATCCGAAGTTCCCAAAACGCTCTATTTACAAGAAATTTGTTTTTAAGTAATAACTATCCAAACTAATATTATAAATGCGAAAGTAACTGTCTGTTACATATTTCGCCTAAACCGCTGAACCAATATTGATGAATTTTGGTACAGACCTAGAACAAGGACATTGGCTAATTTTCGTCACTAAAATAAACCTTAATGAGCATAGGGAATGAAAATTTGAAAGAAGAATCTATAAAACTATAAAAATTAATATAGTACAGTAGGCTACTCGAAGTACTTATTCTACGCAGAATTAATCGCAGGCATCAGCTAGTAATAAATAAGTGATTTCTCGTGACAGCGCTCGACGCGACTTTACATGTAGGTAACACTGGTTAGAAAGGTTACACGTTTTTATTTAAGTTTTCCTACGACGTTAAAAGCAACAATATAATATCTATAAACGTTTCGAGACCTTAGGTTTTCACGATTATTACCATAGGACTTTTCTTTATTCGCATTGATATTATTCGGATCTAAATCGCGTAGGTATATTTGTTTTTTCGTCGCAAAGGCCAGTCGATCATTTTACCATCTCAGCCGTGTGACCATGCGACCTGTAGAGGGCGCGAAACGTTTGGTTTGTTTGAAAAAACAAAATTATAACGAGATTTAGATCAGCAAAAATAGTTTCATTCGCTATAAACGTTGCTAATATGATCGACCTACACTATTTTCTTATGACACAATGCGCGCTGCCGACGGATGCGCCGAGTGAAGGTCAAGAATTATTGACCTACTAAACGTGGCCGGATTCAAATTAGACATTTTTCATCTTTATTGTGACCTAGGCGTTATGAAGACACGTAGGTTGCACATCGAATCTCGTGAGAATAACTGTACAGTTTGGTCACTTTTCTCGTGGTGTGTCGTGTGGTCGTCGAATTAAGCGATATAGAAAAATAGGGGACGTGCAGAACTGCAGACGCGCAAGTTTCATGTTTCTACGTTATTTACACACATAACGGGAGTTACAACCTTTGTTTACCTACATTTTTATCCATTATACTGATTATTAATTTTATTTACGTAAAACCTGCTGGCCATTACATGGAAACAACAAATTAAACGTCCGAATTCCTTATACGATTAATAAAAGTTTGGTTATTAATTTTCACTAATTAGACACTACATTTTATATATTGCTAAGATAAATTGACTTTGAAGCTGTATAAAACCAATGGAATTCTGATAGTGACGTAGTGACGTTTATTCTAGGCTTAAAATCAGTTTGCGCGTGTTTTTGTAATTGTGATGTAAATACATAGTTTGAAGTTTTCATGAAACAATTTAATATGAAATATCTATTGCACAGCCGAATTTTTTTATTAAATACGTATAAAAAGCTTTCATACTGAAGTACGTGCCGATTGATTTTTAAGTATAAAGAACACAAGGAACTTACACAAATGGTAAGAGAAATATTAAATAACTTACAATCCATGTCAACGGCAGACGGTTTTACGGACTTGTCAAAAAATTATACTTTACATTCGATAAATTGAATACTTAAACGAGATAAGATAGTGACACCAATCGTGTTATTGGTTCGAGTTTGTACCGACGCCTCACTAATCGTGGTCATACGTGATTACCGAGTACGTAAACCTAACCAGAAGATTGCAAAACTAATTTAATAATCTATTTAAAGCTTTCGTACATAATCAAAAGGTATATCCTCCATTGCGAACAATTGTGTTATTATAAAAAATGTCAAAACCACGTTCAAAATTACACGGTTATGATAATAAAGAGCGATAACGTTTATTAACGTAATATGAATATGTAAATGTGTGTATAAACAGAAAATAAAATAATAGAAATAAAATAATAGGAATAAAAAACTCACCCGCCATAAAGTTCAAGGTGATATAGCGATTTAAATACAAAATCAATAGACGTGAAACGCGGCTACCGCGACGTAAGTCTTATCAAGGAAATATATATAAGTATACATTACAACGCCACATTAACATAGTATAGGTAAGCGTACATACACACGACAGTGTGCGTTCTATAGCCGTACTGTTTACTAACACTGAGGCAGAGAACAATGTCATTATTCAATACATGACTCGCTCGTCTAGTCCGCTGAGTATTTTATACAATGCAAATGTTATAAGCACTTTGATTTTTTCAGACATTTGGCTTCAGTCCAGTTTGTTTAATTCTCTTATCTAGCTCTAAGTAGAACGGCGAGTTAAGAACATGACCTTTTACAGGATAAGTTTAAGTGATTATGTATGGACAAATAAGAAGTTTACTCGTATATACAACGCAATGACACGAATATAAGCGAAACGTCCACCCGTTCGATTTCTCACAAACTACTGAGCTCAATGGAGTGCAAGTTGGTAAGTACGCTTATAGAACGACGATATTCCAGTACTGAGAAAATTCCAGCAAATATTTCAAGTTTTTACAGTTGTTGACATTGGACTCCGCAAATAATTAGGTAACTTATGTAAATATTAAGGTCCCATTACACACTAATAAGACTACGCGAATCTTATAAAATCTTGAATTTTTTTTATCAGTAATTACTTTTCTATTTTTAAAAGACCTCCATAAGCAAATTACCTTTTCCAGGGAGGATTACGTCCAGCAAAAGACTGAACGCTAAAATGAAGGTGGGAAACCCATGCCAACTTGTTAAATCGAACCCACGCTTTATTTCCAACACACAGATCATAAAAAATATGATTTATATTTATTGCTGCTTTAAGAGTCGTCCCGAGACACAACTTACACACGTTAACATAAAAACTAAAAGTTTCCGCTATCTTTGAGGGCTATATTATGTAAAACAAAACTCTTTCACCATATCTACAACGTTTTAAGTTTCTTCGAAGGTCGCTATGGATTTCTACTTCGAAGTTTATTCGATATAATGTGCAGCTTGAATTGAAAGTTATGAACATCATCAAGTTCAACGAGGAAATGTTGCACGTATTCTACAGGCCAAAGAGGTCAGTTGCAAAACATTTATTAACCTACTATATGATAGAAATAACCTATTATATATATAAGAGGATAATTTATAACTCGACATTATTTTTATACTCGGAAAAACATAGTCATACACTAAAACAGAGTAAGTTTTAACAATCAATATTTCTACGTTCGCCATGTGAAAGGGGTCTCCAAAGTAAACGTTCATTGGTTTCATGCAATCATGCTTCAAAGGATATCAATAAATTGGTGT